CCTAGAAGTCAAGACAATCAGGCCCTCTTCAGTGGGGATGCTATAATCTAAAGATCTAACTGAAAATGAGACACATGTGCATACAAAAAGAAAAGAATAACCAGCATCTAAAAAGTCACGATAGAATCTTTAATGACAATGAACAGATGGAAACAAATCTAATCTCCCAAACCAAATAAAGTGAAAGTATTTATTTCGCACACTGTAGTCATCTTCCTTGAATACTTGCAAGTTCATCAATAGCTACGGTTTCCCACAACATACTTCCCCAAGTAGTCCTTAGACACTGATTTCCGGTGTAGAGCTGCGGAACCACAGATAAGCAGCATCAGCACATCGCCCTCTAAGGTCAATGCTGGAACGGGAAACACGAGAGCACTCAAACCACGTGATGGCTGTCCTCTGCGCTCTGCTCCTGAAGAGGAAGTAACAGCAGGTCTGATGTGTATCAGACTCATACTAATGATACTAAGCAAGCAACCAGAGAACCAAAATGGGAAGAAGCACTGGATAAAAGAGAATCAACCAAAATAGGAAATACAACTTAAAACATGTGCATTGTTAGAAGAGCTACTATGACACTGATGAAATATGGCTTATGGTCAGATATAAAGTCACACTGCCTAGAATTCTAGTGAAACACTGGTACCTGAAATCTGGTGTAGGATCACATCACTGAAGGCTACTCACATTTCGTTTTTTCTTTGTACTTAAAGGGAGAAAAAAGTTTACGCAACACATACATGCTACACACTAATTTCAAATTTATCATTCTCAAAAGTTCATTTTTAATGATATTTTAAGTAATCATTTAACTGAAAAGACAACAGTACATTAATAGTCATAAAAATAAAGATTCCTATGCTTTTACAACCAATTTAAGTCTCAGTGAATTGCAAACTCTACTGTGTTAACTTTGCATTCTTTCTCAACTCTGCTCCAAGCAACCCAACAACTTCACTCCCCATGAGCAGCAAAGTCATAGAAGAGGGAATAGTCATACAGATAAGAATGTTATTTTGTACCATTCCAAAATGAGATCTGACATCTAATAAATGAGTGCTAAACAGATGGGGAAAAAGGGGGTAGGCACAGTGATTAATATCAGACTTTAAGTCAACTGTGTCTATCAAACACTTAAATATTCCTAGAAAGAGTAACAATAAACTAAGAAAAATACCAGACAAATCAAAATTAGATGGCAGAATATGGCCACATATCAGTTATCATATAAAATAGCTAGCCTAAACTCACCAGTTAAAAGACTAAACTCTCAGGGCGCCTGGGTGGCTCAGTCAGTTAAGCTTCTGATTTGGGCTCAGGTCATGATCCCAGGGTCCTGGGATTGAGCCGTGCATAGGGTTCCCTGCTCAGCGGGGAACCTGCTTCTCTCTCTCCCTCCGTTGCTCCCCGTTTGTGCTCTCTCTCTCTCAAATAAATTCTTTAAAAAAAAAAAAAAAGACTAAATTCTCAAAGGGGATTAAAAAACATGTCTCCCCAAAATACAAGGGCACAATGTCTAAAACCAAAGAAACTGAAAAGTCCAGGCAAATCCTAACCAAAATAAAGCCAGAGCAGTAATACTGATGTCAAAATAAATTTTAACGTACTATATGATGGTAAAAAGGGAAAAAATTTGTCCATGTAGGCATCTAATAATCTAGCCTCAAATTTTATAAAGCATAATCTTACAGAAATATGAAGAGAAATTATCAAACCAATAATTATAGGGTGAGATCTCAACACACCTCTCATATTAGTTGATAAACTAAGCAGTTAAACAATTAATTGAGATAAACAACATGAGCCACATATGATCAAGAGGACAGATCTGAACACCAGGCCAAACTGTAATAAAACAGGAAATCTGAAAAGATTCTTCCCACAAGACATACACACATATATTCACACACACACACACACACACACACTTCAGAAATCTAAAAACACACTTAGAAAAACTTTAGTGATCAAAAATGACATTAAGGAGGTCACATGATGAAATAAGCACTGGGTATTATATAAGACTGATGAATCACTGAACTCTACCTCTGAAACTAATAATACATTATAGGTTAATTAATTGAATTTAAATTTTTAAAAAATAAATAAAAGAAAAAAAAAAGACCCATAACGGGATGCAAAAATATTAAGAATTGAGTGGCAATGAAAAGCCCTATGTTCAAAATTTGTGCTTTCAACGAGATACTTGAAGACTAGAGCCAAGCACTTGTATATTTAATATTCAACTCAAGAAATTAGAAAAACAACAGGGTAATCCCAAAGAAAAAATAAAGAGCAAAAGGGAAAAAAAATTCTACAAAGTAGAAAAGAAAATACAGAAACAATAAACCCAAGTTGTTTCTTTGAAAAAAAAATTAAAATGGTAAATCTATAGGAAGAATGGATGGGGGAGGCAAATAAGACTAGAAATAAAAAATGGAATAAAAATTGAATGCACAAGATGACAATGCTTTGAAAAACTTCATGCCAGCAGATTTATCAAATTAGATGAAATGGACAGTTACGAGCAAAAATTTGAATTACTAAAACTGACTCAAGAAAAAACAGTCAGTATAAGGAAATTGAATCAGTGATTTAAAATAAACAACAAAAACAACAAAAACAAAAAAACCTACTCTCCAACTCTCCTCTTTCCACCAGGCCAAGATAGTTTTAAAGGCAAGTTCTACCAGATCTCCAAAGAACAGATAATCCCTCATTTATCCAAATTTTCCAGGGAATATTAAAAGGGATGCAACTTTATGAGGCTTATAACATAGGTCATGAAATCTCATAAAGTGGATAGAAGAAAATTAAAGGTTAGAAATGCAAAAACCCTAGATTAAAAAATACAAAATAAATGCCAAATCATCACGAATAAGTAAAGACAATGTGGAAAAATTCACCTTGGTGGTTATTCACTGGAATTTAAATTGGCACAACCACTTTGGGGATCACTTTGCAGTGTCGAGAAATCTTAGGAAGTAAAACTGCATCCTATCAACGTCCAGATCCCACTACGAAGTGTCTAGCCTGAAGAAACTGCTGCATGAGTAAACAAGGCAAGGTGTACGATTATGTTCACTGAAGCACTGATCGTTACACTACATAAAGAAATGGAGCCTCCGGAGAGGAATGGAGAAACTGGTTTAGTCATTCACAGTAAGCTAGACAGCAGCTAAACAAAGTAGATTTACACGCTGTAAAAAGGGACATACAGAGCAAGAGAGGAGGGATGCGAAGGAGACTTTAGCCAAGTCTTGAAGGTTTTAGTTCTTTAAAAAAAAAAAAAAAATCTGAAACACATGGCAACATGGGAACATCTGATTAAAATCTTTATGGTGAATATACAACTGTCAATTATTTTCTAGATTTTTGTAGTTTTTACATACATCGTGACTTTAAAAGACCACAAAAATAGATTTAAACCATAAAGCACGCTGGTAAATCTTGAGGTTTGGTGATACAAAGAGATTCAGAGATAACAGGGACCTTCTGAATTATCTAAGCAATCTTATATTCTATAGATGAAGTTGGTTTCTGGCTCAAGGTCAAGTTATCATCAAGCTGGTTCTCATATTCTAGACACCCTAACTTCTAGGACAGGTAGGAGAAACACGGGACATGTGGTCAAGTGTAACTGAGTCAAGTTCAGACCAGCATTCCATTGTTTTCCTTGCTGTCCCCCCCAACCCCAAACACACAGTGTCAGTCGGTCTCCCCCCCGCCCCTCCCAGTCTCTCTCAGAGCTTTAAGGATTTTTAATCCTCTTTCTCCACTCCTGTTCTTGAAATAACTGAAATATCAGAATAATTGTAACTAAAACGAGTAAAATAGATAAAGGCAAGGACTAGGAGTCATTCATCTTAGCACCCTCCAACCTTGTACTCTAATACATGTTTAAATATATAATAAACTACTGTTCAGCTAGATAGGTCTATTTCACCAAGCTGAATGAATGCTTTCATTGTAAAGTATAACTTCTATTTTTAATAAGCAAGAATGCAAGGAATGAGGAAAAAGTAATTTTAATATTTAAATAGTTGAGAAGACCCCCCCTTCCCCCAAAAAAGACTATTATTTAGAGACCATATTTTAAGTGAACAAAAGAGGTCCCTCCCACACGTAGCAAATGAAAACAGGGTAGTTTGGTGGTCAGGTTCATGACGTCCGGAGTCAAACTGCCGGGTCTGGAATTCTGGCTCACCCACTAGCTAGCTGGGAAAGTCTGGGCAAGTTACGTAAACTCTCTAAGCCTCACATTGCCCACTGTAACAATGGGAATACCCACAATCATACCTAAATACCTACCTCATACAGAGTCTCACAAGTGTTATGTGAAATCATCCATCTGAAGCAGCTGACACAGCTCTTCAGTGAACATCAACTATTAGCATATGTTCTTGTAAATAAAGTAACTTAGCTATGAAAAGCAACAAGCTCTTCTGACTGACAAAATTATAAGGCACGAGATGCTTTAAAAAATTATATTGGTTTTGGTCACATCCACACTAATGAGTTATATGCCTTGTAAATCATGAGTGTTTTTTAATTAAATGAAACTAAAAAAATGAGCTCGATTTTAAGTCGGTAGCTGACTCAGGATAAAAAAAATACACATAGGTAGGGTTAAAGTGCTGAAATTAGCATGGCTCTTGGAATAATTAACCTAGCACTACTGGTTCTCCTCAAGTGAATCCCATACAGACAAGGGTAATAGTCCAACTGTTTAATGCCCATTCAGAACAAACACCTGCCAATCCACATGACCCGGGAAAACTAGCCAAAACCCCCTTCCCCACCGAGGGTCAGGAAATACTGTCTGTAATAGAAATGATCCACTTCCAGGTTTTCTTGTTTTTTAAAGCAAAACTGACAGGCTAGCTTATAGGAACACAACAATATACACAACTGTGCCACCCCACCAGGGAGGGCAGCCTCGACTTCCGCTCGCATTCTACGCATCAGGACCGCTCTCCAGCGGCGCCCTGTCTCACCTCCAGGTCACAGCTGTACTCGGTGCCATCTAGGAGCATCACTTTGCACTGGACCGTTTTGGTCTTCTTGCTGGCTTTCTGGAAGGCCTTCTCTGCCTTTAGCTCATTGGTCTGCACTTCCTTGGTCTCCCTCTTTGCTGCTTCTTCTGACTTGTCTTCCTTCATTTCCTTCGCCTTCTCTTCTCTCTCCTTACTTACCCCTTCAGCGGGCTGTTAATGGAAAAAAGGAAGTTCATACTAAAGTTAACCAATCTGCAGAAGACCAAGTATTCAAAGGAAAATCTTTAAGAATCGCGATTGTTACAAACACTGTCAGCCTAAGATTTTTAAAGACTTCAAGATTTTGCCGAAAAGGGTATTTCCCCATATTGCCCTTCCCCAATCCACCGCCCATTTTCTCATTTTGCCAATTTGGTAATTTCAGCATCACATGAGTAAAAGAAACTACGTCCTGGCAACTAAAATTTAAATATCATTTCAAATAATAAAATTTCCAATTATAATTTCACACCATGGCAAAACCTAGGCTTCATTAAGAAACCAAAATGTTCACACATACAAATCTACTTCTTCCTACTCACTGAACACTTACATCAAATCAAAGATATAAAAATCCATACTATTTAAAAAAGAGAGGTGGTAGGATTCGGAGAGTATCTGTTTAACCTTAAAAGGAAGAGACATGAATTTTTTTTTATGGTTTGCATTTATGGTTTGCATAGTTAATTTTTTGGCCTTATTATTTTGACAAAGATTTCAAAAAGGAGTAATGAGAAGGCTGTGGCAGACTACCCCAGGCCCCATATTCCAGACACAGTAAGCCAAAGTAGTATCTGAATACAAGAAATCTGGACAGTATTCCAAAGAAACAACTCCTTTTTGGTACGTGGTTCAAACACCAAGCTTTCATTTCCAGACAATTCCTTCTCAAACATACCTGTGCCTCAGGACGGATCACGGAGGGCTTCTCTTCCTTGACATCAACTTTCATCTCCGGCTCTTTTCTCTGAGCGGTTTCTTCGGCATCACCCTTGGCCTGCCTTTCTCCTTCAGGAAGAGATTGCTCTTGATCTAAAATCTCTTCCACAACAGCTTGACTGGGCTCTTTTTTATCTCCTCCGTCTTTAGCCGCTACTAAGGTATAGGACTTCTGTTTCTTAAGCCACGGGGGTATGAATCGAGAAATGCCCCTGCTCTCAGATGGATCCTTCTCTCTCTTCTGGCGGCGTGGACTACTTTGGCTTTCAGCTGTAGGAGATGACTGGGAACCTTTTTCCTCCTCTGGATTGGAGGACTGATTCTGCTGATTTTCTGCTACTTCTTTAGGTTTCTCCTTGGTGGCATCTGCTCCTAATGGCTCAGATTCCTTCTTCACTTCAGATGCGGAGCCTACTTCAGTGGTCATGGTTACAGCTTATGCTGTAAACAAAACAAAACAAAAAAATCACAAAATGTTATCTTACAAACTCCCTCAGTTTTAGTTTGGAGGTAAGGAACAGGGGGTGAGGAAGGGTAGGACAGGAAAGGGCAGAGACACGATGGGGAGAAAATATGTAGAGAAGGAAAGCTCATAAGCACAAGACAAAATGGAGATTGCTACTCTCAGAATTCTCCATCAGAATCAAAGAACCAGAAGTGGCATCACAATAAAACTAACTGATTCTGTACCGGTAGAGCTCAAAACCGTTAACAGCTTAAAGTGATTACATTTATTACGTTTCATCTAGCCATAAGTAATTTTCCCCGCAAAATTCCCATTTTTTTAAGGAAAGTTACTTTTCTCTCTACTTAGGATCCTTTATTCTATAATACAAAAAGTTAATTGATAATGTTAGAAAGTACGGAGACACATTTCACTGCAATTTCACATAGGGAAATCAAATTCTACAAAAATCTGAGGTATTAAAAAAAAAGTCAGGCATTATAAAGATGAATTCTAAATGTGGAGTGCTTAATAGTGAGAAAATTAGATCTGGGGGAGAAAAGTTGTTTTTTTTTTTCAATTTAAATCCCATAATATACCAACATTATTTCAATGCAGCAGTTAGTCTTCTGAGACCACTCAAACTATAATCAAAAATCTAACCCTCCATCCCACTCAACCTCAAACATGGTTTTCCTTGTAGATGTGATTTTAAGGTAAGTACCTCAGGGTCCCTAATCTGAACCAAATGAAGACATTTATAGGGGTAGGGAAATAGTGCATCTAATAAGTGATCCTATCACAACTAATGAAAAAAAACTGAAATTAAATCTGAAAATAGGGGCACCTGGGTGGCCCAGTCAGTTAAGCAGCCGACTCTTGACTTCGGCTCAGGTCATGATCTCAGGGTTCTGGGATTGAGCCCCACAGTGGGCTCTGTGCTCAGTGGGGAGTCTGCTTGAGGATTCTCTCTCTCCCTCTGCCCCTCCCCCCACCCATACTTTAAAATAAATCTTTAAAAAATAAATAAATCTGAAAGTAAATGGTTGTCTCAGTTTCACATAAGCAAAGAGGTACTTTTTAAAGTATAGCTCCCCCAATGACATTAAAAAAAAGAGAGAGACAAGAACAACAGAGAGAGTACAATCTCTCTTCTCTTGACAATGATAAAAGGCCTGGCACCCTGGCCAGTAGCAAATTTTCCAGCTATCTTCAAAAGTGGTACAAATCTTGAATAGTTCACAACATAACATACACTTGTTCTTTTTTAAACCTTTATCGAGATATAATTCACAAACCATAAGCTTCACCCATTTAAATTGCATAGTTAATGGTTTTGAGTCTACTCACAAGATTATGCAACCATCACCACTAATTCTAGAACATTTTCATCATCCCCAAAAGAAACTTTGTAATCCATTAATAGTTTTTCTCCTTTCTCCCTCCACCAGCTCCTGGCAATTACTTTCAATCCATATGGATTTGCCTATTCTAGACATTTCAAATAGATGGAATTATGCAACATTTGGCATTTTCACTGAGCATAATGCTTTCGAGGTTCATCCATGTTGTAGCATGTATCAGTATTAAACTTGTTAAAATATTCTTCACCATCTTTTGCAAATCATGTATCTGATGAAAGTCTAGTATTTAGAATATATCAAGAACTCCTATAACTCATCAAAAGACAAAAAAAAAATTTTATGGGCAAAGAATTTTGAGTAGACATTTCTCCAACAAAAATATACAAATGTCCAATAAGCACTTGAAACAACGCTCATCATCATCAGTCATTAGGAAGATACGAACCCAAACCACCATGAGATGCCACTTTATATACACTAAAGGAAGACTATCATCAAAGAGACAGACAGTGGGCGCCTGGGTGGCTCAGATGGTTAAGTGTCCGCCTTCGGCTCAGGTCATGATCCCAGCATCCTGGGATCAAGCAGGGAGCCTGCTTCTCCCTCTGCCTCTCTCTGTCTCTTATGAATAAATAAATAAAATCTTAAAAAAAAAGAGAGAGAGAGACAGTAACAAGTACTGATGAGGATGGGGAAAATGTAGAAGTCTCAACCTTGATGGCAAGAATGTAAGGTGGTAGAGCCACTCCGGAAAAGTTTCTCAAATAGTTAGCATAGGACCTAGCAATTCCACTCCTACGTATACACCCAAGAGAAATGAAAACATATGTTCCCAGCAAAACTTGCAAACAAATGTTCATTACAGCTTTATTCATACTAGTCAAAAAATAGAAACAACCCCAATTCCTACCAACTGATGAATGCATAAACAAAACGGGTGTGTCCATATTAAGTGTGTGTCCATAATATTAAGTCGTAAAAAGGACTGAAGTACAATATATGCTGCCATACACAAACCTTGAAAATATTATTCTAAGTGGAAAAAATACAAAAGGTCTGGGATGCCTGGGTGGCTCAGTTAGTTAACTGGCTGCCTTTGGCTCAGGTCATGATCCCAGGGTCCTAGGATCGAGTCCCACATCAGGATCATTGCTCAACGGGGAGCCTGCTTCTCCCTCTGTCTGCTGCTCCCCCTGCTTATGCTCGCGCTCTATGACAAATAAAATCTTTAAAAAAAATACAAAAGGTCACATGCTGAATGATTCCACTCATATGAAATTTCCAGAATAAGCAAATCCACAGAGACAAAGTAGATTAGTGGTTGCAAAGGGCTGGAAGACGGAGAGAATAGGGAGCAAGTGCTAATAGGTACAGGGTTTCCTTTGGGGGTGATGAAAATGTTCTGGAATTAGACAGTGGTAATGGTTGTACAACCCTGTGAATACACTGAAAACCACTGAATTATAAACTTTAAAAGGGTGAGAATTCAATTATAAAAAATAACTAAAAAATGCTATTCACAGGGCGCCTGGGTGGCTCAGTGGGTTTTAAGCATCCGACTCGTGATTTCGGCTCAGGTCATGATCTCAGGGTCGTGAGATGGAGCCCCATCAGGCTCTGTGCTCAGTGGGGAGTCTGCTTATCCCCCCTCTCTGCTCCTCCCTCTGCTCATGCTTGCACTCTCTAAGTCTTTAAAAAAATGTTATTCATTTCCAATATGTGAGCATGAAAACATTCAGTCAGCCTGCCCATATTTAATGGGCCCCTACAACGTGCCAGATACTGGGCACATGAATAAAAGACTGCCTTTGAGAAGCTAAAGGTGGTGTACAGGTGTAAGTCGAGAGCACATTGCTTAAAAGGCGCAAGACAGATACTTAACCCAGATTCAGAGAAGAGGTAAGCCTTTCTGCAAAAGTGGATATCTGAGTTGCTTTAAAATGAAGAGCCTTCAGTCAACAGAGTCAGGATAGGAGGCATGTGCCAAGCACAGGGAAGTGTAGCAACATGAGAATATTCCTCCCACAGGAAACCACAAGTACTGCACAATAATCCACTGTACGAGTGAAGTGGGAGCTTGCTATGGGGACAGGCAGGAAGAAGGAAGGTGAATTAGCAATGACAGAGGCAGAAGCCAGGACATAAAAGGTTTTGTGTATCATGCTAAGAAAGGTCTTGAGGTTGATTTAAAGCAATAAAAAGTCATACAAGCATTTTACAGAGAGAGGAGTAATGTAATCAGACCCACATTTTGGCTAGCCCAACCTGGCTGGAAAGTACAGGATGAGAGAAGAGCCTGAAAGAGAAAGACATCCAGAAGGCTGTCCCAATAACCCACACATGAGAAGATGATGGTCTGCACTTTGGCAGGAGCAGCGAGGCAAAGGAGAAGAAATGAATCCAGTGGTAAAGAGGTAGACGACATGACATGGTGCCCGCAATGAACGTAGCAAGTCAAAGACAGGAAAGGGCTCAGGTCATGGAGGAAAAGTCTCAGGTCACAGGAGACTGTGCTGATGGCTGAACCACCCACTGGAATAAGGAACACAAGCAAAAAAGGGTCTGACGGAGACAAACTTGGTTTTGAATTGACTGCGACTGACCAGTTTGTCAAGTTGACCACTTGACACATGGGTCTTGAACAGAGACCAGATATGCACGAGAGATGCAGATTTGCGAGGTGCCATCACACGGGGGACAGCTAAAAGCAGCAATGATACGGACACTGCCTAGAGAAGAAGGGTAGTTTGAGTTTAGAGGGGCTTAAGAAGAACTTTATCCCCACCCAACATTTCAGCGTCAGGCAGAAAAGGCAGGAGGGAGAGGAGGAATATACAGTGAGACCAGGAGCTGAGTGCAAATGATGTCCCTGAGGGCAATGCTACAAAGGAGGAATCGTTAGGTAACTAGAACATTTACAGGCCAATCTTACTTCTCATTCTTAGGCATTTATTTTTAATTCTATCCATGTTTGAATATTTGCACATATCAGTTCACTATCTCTATAAAGTATAAAAGTATTAAGTGTAGGTCTGTTAGGAACATGTTTAACTTCTATTGTGTCGACATCAGATCACCAAACGTAAACACTGTATTTTGTCAAACTGGGAAGTAAACCCCATAAATAAGGCTGGGGGGGCTACATAAGTTTCGGCCTGTTATATTGTAGAAAAATTTTATCATCAATATTCCTGAAGATCAAAAACTGGCGATTTGAGCAATCTTAAACTATATGTTTTATGTAGTTTTTGTAGAAAATATTAGTTCAACATAAACTAAAATGTGCAAAATATTAAGGCATCACCTTCATTTAGGAAGACAAGAGGCATGATTTGTTAAATCATTATAAAGCTAATATTACTGAGCTTTCTTCTCCAAAGATTTGAAATGAAAATTCAGGTAAACAGAATGAAGTTATTATTCATAAGCCTAAGTTATTTTTTACCCTCAATTTATTTAAAATTAATTAATTTTAATAAGAGAACCAGTCGTTCTCTTTATCAGCTTGATTCTGTTGTTTAAATTCCACATATAAGAGAGATCTTAAGGGGTCTTTCTCTGACATTTCACTTAGCATAATGCTCTCCAGGTCCATCCATGCCATTGTAAATGGCAAGATTCCATTCT